ATAGGCTTGATAAGCTGATATTCACGATTAGGCCACGCCCCCTTTCAAATCGTTGATTTTACTGGATTTACTATTGCTTCAAACGTTACACAAACACATTTTTTTTATAAAATACCTAAAGGTAAGTAATATTATGGTAAAAACGTATTGTTTATTGTTTTTTACTGAAAAAATATAGTTTGATTCAAGTAAGAAATATATGAGCGGACGCGTAGCCTGGGAGCAGCGCGTCCGGTAACTCTACACTTAAACATTTTAGCACATAGCTCTAGCACTCTAGCACTCTAGCACTCTAGCGCTAACACTCTAGCACATTTTAAAAACTAGGCTTGACAGAATTGTTACATATACTTTTTTATACACTTTATTTCAAAATTGACTGATCAATGCATAATGAAAACAGTATAATCACAAAATGGCAAGTTAAATATTGGCAATACTGTATATGATGGAAACTTCAAACGCTGTATCTATACAAGGTAAAATTGAACATTGAAAGGGAAAACACTATTGTAATGCAGTATACACTCTGTAAAATGGGCCATAATTAATGATTCGTTGATGCTTAAACAAGATCAACTTTAACAATAATTATTCCTTTCAAACAGTTGGACCGTTGATGATCTCAGTCATGTGTTTGGCAAGGTAGTGCATGAGGATCTTCAAGTAAGAAACAAAACCTTCTTGACGAAGAGAAAGATGTGGTTGCAGTCTGCTGGGGAATCAAACATATATGTTCCGACAGTGAGCTAAATATATTCAGCTGTCCAACTTCTCCTAGAACCGCTGAGAACAAAGCATGAGGGAGGTGGGATGACTGGGGGAGATTGCCTCCGGTCACCTTCAGAAGTTGCTGCAGACATCTTTCGGTTGCTTCGCATACCTTCACTACATCCGACGATGGTCTCATCAACCCACCCCTGTTCTTCGTTTCTAACAAGCTTCCTTCCATTACCCAACCGGTCGTGAGAGCAGCAGCACATTCGTCACAAGACAAAAACTCACAAAAAGTCATTCTCACTGCATACCAGGGAAAAATTACTTTTTTTCACGGGAGCTATTTTTCAAAAGTCTGTGGAAAAAATAGCTCTCGTCAAAATTTTTATAGAAAGCTATTTTGAGCCTCACGGGAGCGATTTCGGAGGTTTGAAGAGCGAATCGCTTATCGCTCCTGTGTATTTTTTTACCCTGCTGCATAACCACCTATGTATGGGATAACCGACTTCTTGTAGGGAGATAGCTCACTGATGTCTGGGATGTCAGCATAGTCATGTTCTGTACTTGCAAGACTTCTAGTTGACAAATCATACTTCCGGATCAAGAGTAGATCACTCTCATCATAGTTATAAGCTCGATGCTTTTCTTCCTCTCACTGCCCACGCGTGAAGTATTGCAGTGTTGTCTTGGGCAATGCAATTTCCTCCAACTTCTTCGATCTCGAGGCTCGCACAGCATTCTGTCGTCTTAGCAACATCTGGAAGTCAAGTCATTACACTCCGAGAACAAAAGTTAGACTGTACAACAGTAATGTCAAGTCCGTCCTTTTGTATGGAAGTGAGTGCTGGAGGATAACCAAGGAGGATATGAATGCTCTTTCGTCCTTCCACCATGGCAGCCTCAGGCGCATATGTAGGATCTTCTGGCCAAAAACGATCACAAACCAAGAACTACTGAAGAAGACGAGTTCATTCTGCACTGTTGAGGAGACCAAACAATGCAGACTCAGATGGCTTGGGCATGTGTTCAGAATGCCGGACAACACTAGCTCAAAAAAGGCACTACGCTGGACACCCCAAAGAAAACGAAAAAGAGGACGGCCAAAGACCACCTGGTGCCGGACCGTCGAGGCGGAGCTGAAGGAAATGGGGCTGACCTGGGGCACAGCAGAGATGCTGGCTAAAGTCTGTACAGCATGGCAAAGTTCTGTTGTGGCCTTATGCTCCACTGGGAGTGAAGAGGATAAGTAAGTAAGTAAGTCCTTCGACCTCATGTCCAATGAGCATCTTTCTGTACGAGGTCGAGAATTCACGAGCTGTTGGGTTGTTGTTGCATCCTAGAGATGAACGAATGGCGCAGAAAAATAACTCAAGATGATCTTGGCTCATCTTGTAGGTAAGCAAGTGCTATCTTTGTCTTTAGATTTAGCAAGTCTCCTCATAATTTCTCCTGGCACATCGCATTTTTTCTCCAACATTTCAAGACCACGTTCTGACAGCAAGTTTTTCGCTTTTAGTGTCTTGACAACTTTCTTCAAAGAAGCTACTCTTTTCTTTAGTCTGCGTGATTTGGTATGGGATGTCTTTAGTCGGTTCCTCATGGTGGACATCTGGTCGTACATCTTGTCGAGTTTTTGCTTGACGCTCCTTGGGCTTTCATGAATGTACGTGTGATAAGGATGAGGGTTATATCTCTCTGTGGGCGTTTTTGGGACAGTAAGCGTAGGTCTGGCAATTTCTTGTGGAACAGGTCTGGCGATGTCTAGTTGAACAGGTCTGGCGATATCTTGCGGAACAGGTCTGGCAATGTCTTGTGGAACAGGTCTGGTGATGTCTTGTGGAACAGGTCTGGCAATGTCTTGTGGAACAGATCTGGCGATGTCTTGTGGAACAGGTCTGGCGATGTCTTGTGGAACAGGTCTGGCGATGTCTTGTGGGACAGGTCTGGCCGGGGTTGATAAACAAGTGTGTGCCAGTGTGTCACACTCTGGCCCTTCAGTCAAAGACTCATGAATGATTGGGTTGGGGGTATCATTCTGTTGTTCTGGTTGTGGATGGGCAGAATGTCGAGGAAAGGGTGGCTTGCGTTGCTTAACAGACTGCAAAAAGAGAAGAACAAAAGAGTATTTATTACAAGTGTTATTATAAATAAAGACGTTGAGATTACATAACACTAAGTTTGACAAATAAAAATAATATGTACATTTACGCAGAATTGACAATATAATTACCAAAAGGCACTCCATTCCCTAAACAAACTAATTTTAACCCTTACTGAACTACGGGAGAAAGGGCACGCAGTCCTAGCACGCACCTCATCAAAATATTTAGGAAATAAATTAGAATAGAGGTTTCTCAAAAGGTATTCAAATTGTATTATACAAAAGTTGCTCTGAACAACGATAATCCTTGTTAAGGCTTGAGAAACAGAGCAACAAATAATATTCAAAATGGATTCTAATAAAAGAATTACAAATGACTTGAAACATAAATCATAATAAGAATGCCTATTGGTTCCGTGTCCTGTGTCCTTTAAAGCTATTGGTTATGCAATTTTTTTCTCAAACTAATCTAGTTCAATAACTAATGGGTTTAATACACTATCAATTAAACAACAGAAACGTTGGTAAAATTCTTCCGAATAACTTGTAACTTTCAAATGGCTGGTGAGAAAACATTAGTATGTACATTTCACATGATACTCTACCAACGAAAAAAAGGGAAAAAAATCAATTTGATTTTTACCATGTGCCAATGGCTCAATGTCATACATTGGATTTAAGGGCTATTTTACTGCTGTTTATTTAAACACTGGGTCAAAAGCACCATGTATGTACACCTATAATTCAAATCCAAATTAAATTGATTGAATAAGTATTGACCTTCATTTACATTAGTCACTTCTATTATCTGCACTTCCCATAAATTTTTAGAATTCATCTAACTTTGCACTTTGTTTTGTATCAAATTCTTTACAACGTACCTTCAAGAGATGTCGGTGAAAGTTGAACAATGTTGGCACGGCATCTGAGCGAAGCCGCGTTGTCTGGCCAGTTCGATCAAAATGCTTCTCCTCGAAGTGGTCTGAGCATAATGTATCATGTGGGCTTGGTGCCCATTGATGGTCTCTTCTCATGTTCACCAACCATTTTTTACGAAGAGTGTGATCACTTTTTGGAAATCTGAAATTGAACCAGAAAAGAACATTTCGTTTTACATCATTATAAAAAATAAATTTTACTCTTAAACAGCAGGATCAAACAATGAAATAAAGTCTGATGCATGTGAAATAATATAAATACTAGCCATTTGCGGCCCGTGAACCACGGGCCTCTAGCATTTACGCAAAGATCATCAAAACATGATCGCAATATCCAAGAAGTAAATGAAAAAGTATAATATCTTGAGATGTAAAACAGACAGTTCATAAAAACAGAGTAGTGTACTTCGAGTCAGATTCATGTGCTGTCACATGTCCAAAGGCAATGATACCCAGCTAAGACATAACGTTTTCGCAACGTTTTTAAATGGTTATTTTATGGGTTGGTATTAATAAAACGTTTTCTCAACGTTCGTAAAACGTTTCTAATAAAGTTATGTTTACTTACGTTAAGTTTTATTTTTACAAACGTTTGCTAAACGTTGCCTGCGTGTGTGCCTGTGTGCGTGCCTGCGTGTGCGCCTGTGTGTCTGCGTGTGTGCCTGCGTGTGGGCGTGCGTGCCTGTGTGTGTGCCTGCGTGCGTGCTCGTGTGCGTGCGTGCGTGCCTGCGTGCGTGCGAGCGTGTGTGTGTGTGCGTGCGTGTGTATGCGCGCGTGCGCGCGCGCGCGTGTGTGTGTGTTAATTGTGGTTGCGAATAAATTCTATATTCGTCCAACATATAAATTGTTATTAGTGTGATGGCAGCATCTATATAGTTTTTTTCGATGACGACGCGCCCCCGCAGCAAATGGAATACGAGAGACACGGCTCACTAAATTATCTGTCCGATACCGACAGGTGGCAAGCCAACGCGACACGCGTGTGGTTGCATATAATATCGACCAATATTTAACGTTAAAATAACGTCAGTTTCAACGTTGAATAGACGTTGTATATCGCAAGATTAAAACTCATTGTTGATGCTACCCTACAACAGGACCACAGGTACCTCTAATTCTCTCAAATATGCTCATGTATATGTTCAGTATTATATTTCAAATAACTGTCTACTACAAGAGATATAAAAAAACGTTACAGCAGAACACTTCATATCAGACCTACAAAAAATGAATTGGGAGGGGATCTACAATACTGTCTAGATATACATGCTCCAATGCGACACATTAAAAAACTATGGGCGCCAATAAAAAAGACCACAAAAGACACCCCCTGGTTCAATCCAGAGCTACGCAGTCTACAGGTGCAGAAAAAAGGAGCGCATAAAAAACATATGCGCATGAAACGCGCATGAAACATGAGATGCGCATGAAACATGAAGATTATGTTGACTACAAAAAAAATCGAAATCGATTTAATAACTTTAATTCCAAGGCAAAAAACAAATACTACAAAAACAAAAGTAATGAGGCAAAATGGCCAAAAGATAAATGGAAACTCATTAATGAAACGCTTAACAGATGTGGAAATAAAAAGAGCTATATACATGAAATCAAATCTAATAACATTATCATCACAGACTTAAAAGACATAGCCAACATATTAAATTCAAAATTCTTAGACATGGGTAAATTTAGTAACCCCATACCTGCACTATCTACAGAAAATAAAAAATTGCTCAAGTCAGCATATACTAACACATCATTCTCATTCCAAGCTGTTAGTGAAGTGACAATATTAAACATTTTACAACAAATGAACTCGAAAAAGTCGTCTGGTCCTTCAGAAATACCCATGTCAGTATTAATGATGAATACAAATATCATCACACCTCATATCACATACATATATGTAACCAAAATTAATGATAATGAGGAGTGAATTTCCTGAAATTTGCAAAACTGCTAACGTCACACCCGTACATAAAAAGGAGATAGAGATAATCCAGAGAACTACTGACCTATCTCAATAGTTCATTGTTTTGGTAAGTTACTAGGAAAAGTATTATACACTCAAATCTGCGATTACCGAAAAAGAAACTCCCTACTATACAAAAAGCAATTTGGTTTTCGGAAAAATCACAGTACCACTGACGCACTAATTACGACTATAGAGTACTGGAGGCACAATTTGGACAATAACAAATTTGTAGCGACCGCATTTCTTGAATTAAGCAAAGCTTTTGACAGCATATCCCACAAAACATTGCTTCAAAAACTAAAACAAATAGGATTTGACACATACTCTAGCTGATAGGGTCTATGTCCCCCAGGGTACTATCGGAGGGTAGCCTACCCTAGCTAGCTGGGTACGGTTCGATATATCGGAAAGTACCTCGGGGTACTATACGATATGTCGCTGCGTACCCTGCATTGTCCCACCGTACCCTGACTTTCAGCCCTTCGTTTTCGCAAAGCTAGCTCTTCGTTTTAAAAAAAAGAAAAAGAAAAAGAAAGTCAAACATAGCATACATTTTTATTGGATTGCGATGTTTTGAGGTTTCTTCTATGTGATGTGGTAACTTGACAGAGTGTATGTATTACGACATCAGTCGCGTCTGAAAGTCAGGGTACGGTGGGACAATGCAGGGTACCGCAGCGACATATCGTATATGTAAAAGGCGTGACACTGTTTTACGGCCATGGGGAGTCCAGAGAGAGAGAATATCCCGGGCCCAATTTATTACTTGAACCTGAGTGGAGAATAACAACGAGTGCGCGTGACGTCATAACTACGAGTATGCATTCAATCTGTTACATCTCCTCTTTCCATATGCTTGATAAACATGTTGTGAGAGCTAATAAAGACAGCATATACTTGATGCTAGATATTAAGTCGTTACGGTTTCAAATGCTTGTTTGTTATTTCTATTGCATATAGATAATATGGTACCTCAGTTTAGCGAGTTGTCAGTTACTATGTACGTGAACAAGGCCGTACGCAGCGGGGGGGGGGGGGGGGCCAGCAGCGGGCAGTTGCCCCCCCTAGAGATTTACAGAGTATGCCTTTAATGGGACAAATAGGGGCAATAGAGGCGCGCTGGGAGTACCTTTGCCCGCCCTTACAGGAAAATTTCCTGCGTATTTGCCCCCCTACAGAAAAGCTTCCTGCGTACGGCCTTGTACGTGAATACATGATATCTGCAAATGTCACGACAGTACCTATGACGTAACAGGGTAATAGACAAACATAAATGATTACTGGAGCGCACAGCCATTAACAAAACGCGATGCCTGACTAATCAACGTTCTAACGTCAACAAACTTTCTACGAAACTACGAACTGTATATATAGTCTAAACAAAACTCACAACTAGAATAAGCTGCTTCAACTACAAGTGTTACAATGTTCAGTCTGGATAGTCCGCCATATTTTCGTGGCATCTTCACTACCTTCCGCAGCATGGTAATGCGCGTATATTGGATGGAACCAGGTTGTGTTTTGCCCACTGGATGGAACAGCATGTGCTGTAAGCTGGATGCGAAACAGCACGTGTTGCTGTTAGGTAGATGGAACAGCATGTGGCTGTAGTGGATGGAACAGCATGTGCTGACTGCGACATGGACACAGCATGAACTTACGTTGGAACGCGGGGAACAGATTGTGCACCGACTAGATGGACAGTGCACCATTGACTGGACGGTTGTTGATCATCTTTCTCCTTTTGCGTCTGTTAAGCAACGCAA